ATGTTATAATAAATAATAATAACAATCCTTGCATTTGATATAGCCCCTTATCGTGTCTTTGAGATGTCTCAAAGAGCTTCTCAGAATATGTTGTAAAGTGAATTGACTATATTTTGTGGGGAAATGCGGCAGCCAATCATGCACAGCAGTGTCATACAAACAGTCATGGATTGAAATGACCATTTTATTATTTTTTGAAGGAAGTGATCCACTAATTGACTAACAACTGGGTTCCTACTTACTGCTAGGTAAACAAGGTTTCTCCCTACCGGAAATCAAACCCAGGTATCTCGCTTGCGATGCGAGTTGTCGAACCATTGAGCTACAGGATTAAATGTTATCAAAGAACCAGTAGTGCGATTGGTTCTTTAATGGTATTCTCCATGATCTTTTCAAAGGTCTTCGATTGCCCAAAGGATGGTCTACGGGCTTTGAATGGACCTTGGGGAAATCAACCATTCAATCTAAACCAAACTATAATTTGCATTTGCTGCTTGTATACTGTATGCCCTTGGATAACTATTCTTAAGATTTTAGTTGTTACAAATTGCTCCATTATTGTAATATTAAAATATTCTCTTCTTCCCATTTCTTTATTTTTTCAGCATTTAAACTTTTGTTTTGTATTCTTATTCACCTTGAGCTTAAATAGTAAAGTTACCTTTCTTCTGTGACCCCAGGGACGCACAAACCATTCAGTAACTAGTACCCATGCCATAAATCTATTCTCTGATTGGCAAAAATCATTTATAGCCAGTTGGGAGACAGACTATTGAAGTTTGACCAGGTTTCAACAAGAGAAAGATCAGGTTGAACTTTATTGTTTGTCTCAGCTGTCATTCCAAAGCTTTCAGTGTGATAATCTGTGAGTGGCATATGGAAGAGGGCTTTTCAAGATGAACTGTCTCGACATGGAGGCCATAGGGTTGAAAGTTTAGTTTAATCGTATTGTTTTTGAAATTATGTAATAAATAGAAATGTTGATTTCAGCAAACAAGGCCTTTAGACCTTCCAGGTTGCAGTTGAAATACCGGGGAGGAGAGTCAAAAGCACAGGGGTGGATGCACAGGAATCCCAGGGAAAAGTGTCAATGCAATTGTCATTGGTGACACAATGGTGAAAGGAGTACACGGGTGTTTCTGCAACCAAAGATGTGACGCGCATGGTATATTGTCTCCCTTGTACAGAGTTGAAGACATCACGGAATGGGTACAAAATATTCTACAGGAGTAAGGGGAACATCGAGAAGTCCTGGTCCATTTTGGGATCCATGACGTAAGGAAAGCAAGGGCTGAGATCCTACAGGGAGAGTATCAAAAGCTAGGGAAAAAGCTAAAGAGTTAGGACCTGAAAGGTGGTGATCTCTGGATTACTCCCAGTGCCTCATGCAAGTGAGTATCAAAACAGCAGGATCAAACTCATGAATGCATAACAGGAGAAATCATGCAGAAAGAAGGTATTCAGGTTCCTGGATCATTGGGACCAGTTGTGGGGCAGGTGGGACCTGTACCATGTGGATGGGTTACACCTGAACAGGGCTGGGACCAATGTCCTCGCAGGGAGGTTAACTAGTGCTGTGGGGAAGGGTTTCAACTAATTTCGAAGGGGGAAGGGAATCAGGATATAGCATCAGAGAGGTCAAACAAGTTACATAGAGGGCTGGGAAAGACGAATAGCAATGTAATAAGGAGTAATCCAGAAAAAGGAGGGATTAGACAGGGGAGAAATGTAGAGCAGACTTGGTCGGTATTGGAGTTCATGTGCGTAAATGCATGGAGTGTGACAAATAAGATTGGTGAGCTGCAGGCTCAAGTTGACATGTGGGGTTATGATATAGTGGCAATAACGGAGACCTGGCTCAAACAAGGGCAGGAATGGGAGCTGAATATTCCTGGCTACAATGCATTCAGGAGGGACAGGGAAGAAAAAAAAGGAGTGGGTGGGGGGTATTGGCAATATTGATTGAAGACATGGTTACAACCCTTGGAAAGGACAATGTGCGAGAGGGTCCAAAAACAAAATCTATTTGGTTAGAGTTAAGGAGCAGAAAAGGAGCTGTTACTCTGTTAGGTGTATACTAGGACCACCAAATAGTGGGAAGTGCTGGATCTAGTTCTGGGGAATGAAGTGGGGCAAGTGGAACAGGGTTCAATAGGAGAGCATCTAGGCAACAGTGATCACAACATCATTAGGTTTAGAATACTAATGGAAAGGGACAAGGAACAATCAAAGGTGAAGATACTCATCTGGAAGAGAGCTAATTTTAGTGAGTTAAAAAGGGACCGAGCCAAGGTGGACTGGAAAGAACGATTGGCAGGTAAAATAGCTAATGAGCAATGGGAAGCCTTCAAGGAGGAGATAGTTCGGGGACAGAACAAATACATTCCCACGAAGGGCAAAAGTAGTGCATCCAAACCTCCCTGGATGAATAAGGAAATTGGGATTAAAATAAAACAGAAAAACGAGACTTATGATAAATGTCCAAAGTACAGAAGATAATCAAATAGAATATAGGAAATACAGAGGAGAACTGAAAAAGAAAATAAGAGAGGCAAAGAGATTGTATGAGAAAAGATTAGCGGGTAACAAAAGGGATCCCTAAGGTATTTTATAAGCATATAAAGAATAAAAGGTTAGTTCAACTCGGGTGGATCCAATTAGGGACCAAAGAGGAAATCTTGTGGAGGCAGAGTGATGTACTGAATGTGTACTTTGCATTTGTCTTCACAAAAGAGGATGAGGCAAATGCCACAGTATTGGAGGAGAGTGTAGGATTTTCAAAATAATAATAATCCTTGCATTTGATATAGCGCTTTTCATGTCAGGAGGACATCCCAAAGCGCTTCACAGAACACACTGTAAAGTGAATTGACTGTATATTTGTGGGCGAACAAAGCAGCCAATTGCGCACAGCAATGTCCCACAAACAGTCGTAGATTGAAAATAACCAATTTATTATTATTTTTGGTTTTGGAGGGATTATTATTAGGCTCTGTGTGGAGTAAGGAAACTTGCCCAAGGTTTCGCCCTCTGCCTGGAATTGAACTCAGGTCTCTCACTTGCAAAGCGAGTGCTCTAACCACTGAGCTACAGGACTCCACAAAGGCGTTTGATAAAGTGCCACATAAGAGGCTTGTAAGCAAAATCGAAGCCCACGGTATTAAAGGGACAGTGGCAGCATTGGTTACAGAACTGGCTGGGAGACAGATAGCTGAGAGTGCTGGTGAATGGTTGTTTTTCTGACTGGAGGGAAGTGTGCAGTGGTGTCCCCCAGGGGTCAGTAATGGGACCACTGCTGTTTTTTGATCTACATAAATGACCTGGACTTGGGTATAGGGAGTACAATTTCCAAGTTTGCAGATGATACTAAGCTAGGAAAAATAGTAAACAGGGAGGGGGATAGTAGCAGACTGCCAGAGGACATAGACAGACTGGTGAAATGGGTATACACGTGGCAGGTGAAGTTTAATGTGGAAAAATGTGAAGTGGTGCATTTGTGAGGGAGAATGAGAAGAGACAGTATAAGCTGATGGCAGAATCGTAAAGGCAGTGAAGGAACAGAGACCTGGGGGTTCATACAAGTAAATCTTTGAAGATGGCAGGACAGGTAGATAAAGCTGTTAAAAAAAGCGTACGGGATACTCGGCTTTATAAATAGGGGCATAGAATACAAAAGTCAGGAAGTTATGATGAACCTTCATAAAACACTGGTTAGGCCTCAGTTAAAGTACTGTGTTCAGGTCTAGTCACCACACTTTTGGAAGGATGTCAAGGCATTGGAGAGGGTGCGAAGGAGATTTGCCAGGATGGTACTAGGAATGAGGGACTTCAATTATCAGGAGAGACTAGAGAAGCTGGGATTATTCTCCTTGGAGCAGAGAAGGTTAAGAGGAGACTTAATAGAAGTATTCAAAATTATGAGGGGATTTGATAAGGTGAATAAGGAGAAACTATTTCCACTGGTGTGTGGGTCAGTAACCCAAGGGCACGGATTTAAAATAGTTGTTAAAAGAAACAGAGGGAAGGTGGAGGAGAAATTTTTTCACACTGCGAGTTGTTCGGATCTGGAATGCATTGCCTGAAAAGGTGGTGGAAGCCGATTCGATACCAAATTTTAAGAGAGAAGTAGATTATTTGGGGAGGACAAGTTTGCAGGACTATGGGGAGAGCGGGTGAGTGGGATTGATTTGGAAACTCTTTTCAAAGAGCCGGCACGGTTAAGATGGGTCGAATGGCCTCCTTCTGTGCTATATGATTCTATGATTAGCTCAGGCACTGCAAATTGCAGAAATCTTACAAATGCTTTTTCTATTCAATCTCTGGAAATTAAGACATACAAGTGTTAAGGAATGAATAGCAGAAGATCAGACAATTACCCCAATTCCCATCTTAATCCAGGCTTCTTAGAGACTTTCTTAGTCTTTCTTAAAATTTATTTAGTCCGTGAATTGATGAGTCTTTGAAAGTGGAGAAGGTAGTTTGTGGATTCAATTCCAAATTTCTCCACATAATGATTTCAATCTCATTTTGTGGTTTAGCTCCTTGAAAAGGAGAGGCACAATCAAATCAACTTGCGGAATTGATAATTGCAAAACTACAAAGGTGGGGGTTATTTTAAGAAGAAAGAGCTATCAAAGCTATTTTTGCTTTGAACTATGTGACCAAGCAAAGCGAGGTATTTTCCTTTTCGCTATCAATAGCAATAATTTGCATCTATATACAGTCATACTATTCATGTATGACACAAAGAGCTCAACAGTGGTAATAGTGGATGCTGTCCAAGTGTGAAGACCAAGGGCACAGTTGAACAGATGGGTTTTAAGAGATTTTTAACCCAGAAGATTGGAATCAGCTTTACGCAGAGTGGGTAAAGTTGATTAAACTCTCTGTGCTTTACATGAGTAACCAGTCAAGAATGTTCATGATTTTTTTTCAATTAAACTTCTAAAGCTTACTTTGTGTATGAATAACTAGCACTTTGAATTGTTTATATATTGCAGATGTATTCTGCCCTCTTTTGATCTTGCTGTTTGAGGAAGGCATTTCTGAATCTATGGAATTTATGCGGAATCAATCATCGTATGAAATTTAGGTAAGTACATAAATCTGTCCATTTTACATTTGTATTCATAAGGACTAAAGGACTTCTAGCTGGGCAACCCTTGCTGGATCTTTAACATCCTATCAGTCAAGAAATGCTTGAGCATTTTTGTCTTCTGTGGTTTCAAATGGAGACTCTGAACTTTACTGGTTTCACTCCTACTTGTTCTAGTGGTTTGTCTCATCTTACGGTTTCTACTCTTGTTCCTACACGAACACATACATGTCCTTTTCATCATCTATGTTTACCCCCTTGGTGACATCATCTCCAGGCATGGGGTCCATTTAAATGTTTCCAGATGACATCCAACTTTTCTGCCTCGATCATAGACTCCAGGTTCACTGATGTTCTGATACACTGTCCGTCAGACATCGAGTGCTGGATGAGCTGTAACTTTCTTCAGTGTTGGCATAACTGAAGCTATTCTGTTTGGTTCCCATTGGTGCCTCCTCACCTCAGATATTGATTGTCTCGGCTGTTTGCTTTAGCTCACATGGCCTGTCTGGAATCTTGGTGCTTTGATCAACTCTGACTCTCCTTCAAACTTTCCATGTAGGAGCTGACCAAGTATTTCCATCTCCGCAACTCGCTTGTCTCTGCCACAACAACATCTTTTGTTTATATATCGCCCCTTACTAGTGACAGTGCCTTGGAGCTATAATGGTGCAAGGCTATGGAAACCTTGGTGCCTCCAGATTTGACTTTTCTACTCTCTGCTTGCTAGTCTCCAATTCCCATCTTGTACAATCTCCAAGTGATCCAGAACTCCACAACCTGTAACCTCTTCCGTGATAGACTCCATGAGCAGATCACGCATTCTCACCCAGCTCCATTGGCTCTCCCCGGGGAATCAATTTGGGCTTCATAACCTCTCTCTACTTCCCTGGCTATTTTCTCTTCTCTGCCTACTTCATACCCTCCGCACCACCAAAGATGAGCAAGCCTTCAGCTACTTTATTCTCTCTCTCTCTCTGGAACTTTGTCCTGAAATCATTCCATGTTGCCTTTCCCTCTCTGCTATCAATTCAAGACAGAATACTGCCCACCTTCAGACACTTTCCCCCTCCTGCATAATCTCCAAGCTCCCTCCCAGCTTGGCTACTCAGTCGGTCACATGCAAGATGCTATTCAAGTGTAACTTCTTGTTGGAGGGAAAGTATCTATTCCTTGTTACAAGAGAAGGGTAAACATATAGGGTAAGCATTCATTATGAAAGGATTAGAGTATAAGAGTAGGGAAGTCTTGCTGCAACTGTATAGAGCCCTGGTGAGACCACATCTGGAATACTGTGTGCAGTTTCGGTCTCCTCATTTAAGGAAGGACGTACTTGCCTTGGAGGGGGTGCAGTGTAGATTTACTAGGTTAGTGCCAGGGATGAAGGGGATGAGTTACGAGGATAGGCTGACCAATTTGGGCCTATATTCTCTAGAACATAGAAGAATTAGAGGGGATCTTATAGAAACCTATAAGATCATCAAAGGGCATGATAGAGTAGATAGTGGGAGATTGTTTCCCCTGGTTGGAGAAACTAAAACCAGGGGTCACAACCTTAAAATCAGAGGCCAGCCCTTTCACACTGAGTTGAGGAAGAACTTCTTCACTCAAAGGGTGGTGAATGTATGGAACTCACTACCCCAAAGGGCTGTTGACGCTCAGTCCTTGAACATATTCAAGACTGAGATAAATAGATTTCTTATTGCAAAAGGGATTAAGGGATATGGGGATAAGGCAGGGTCAGGTTATTAACAAGTTAGATCAGAAGATCAGCCATGATTGAATGGTGGGGCAGGCTCGAAGGGCCGAATGGCGTATCCTGCTCCTACATGTTATGTATTTACTCTTACTGTCAACCAAAACCATCCCTCGTGCTTATCGTCTGGATTGGCATCAGTTTGCAAATTTGTGACGTCTTTATGCAAAACGTTACACAAATAGCTCCATACGCATTTTTGACAGTTTACCTATTACAGTAGGTGTATAATACTTTGATAAACTGACACTGGATTTATAATGCGTGGGAGCTCAGCTTCGCTTGGTTAAATTTTGCATTTGTGTGAACAACATGGAATTTGTGCTTTTGGTTTGTATAGAAACAGCAGAAGTTGAGGCATTGCTGTTTTCAAGGTTGTTGTTTTTTCCATTCATTTTATTTACCTAGTGGGAATTTACCTTTGTGTACTGTGAACTTTCCTACCAGGGTTCAGTGCGGTATATCATGTTTTTTCCATTACTAAACATTACCAATGCAGGCATTGCCTTTTCAAAGCTTTCTCCTATTTAAAATCAAACGATTTGGAAAGTTAAGTAGATATTTTTTAACCACTGTGTTTGGTAGTGTTTTCTTCAGATTAGAGTAATTGAGCTGAATTAATTATTGCTCAAAATTCAGAGCTTTCAACAGTGGACAAAAAAACTAATGCTCAGTGTTAAGTGCCATGAAATATTGCACAAATGCAATATTTTCACTAGTTTGTCAGCAAAGTATAGTACCAGGGGTTTTGCCTTACACTAAACAAACAACTCGTATCCCCCTAACAATCATGGCTTGGCCTCAAATTGCAAGTCTGTATGTAGAAATTAAAGTACGCTATAAAACATCCACAAAATAAAGCTTCTTGCAGAGTTGTCCAAATATTTACCTAATCAAGGAGTTTAGAGTTGTTGTTAAAAATGTTGTAACAAAACTGACTAGGGATTATTATGGGGGAGGGGGCGTAGCGAGTGGTTTGGGTTACCTCCGGCTCAGAACAGCCAGCCTGGCTCCTCATCATGACTTGGAAGAACAATTCTGCCATTCGAGATGAGGGGGAATTGCAGTGCACATTTGGATACTCTTAAGCATAGCAATGGGTTTCTGCATGTGCCAAAAAAGGCACCAACTAAATAATACTTGCCTGTAAAATACTTTGAGACATTTAAAATCATAGGCACTATAAAAAACAATAAAAAATTATTTTAATTTGTACAGGTCCTTTCACATTGGTGGACACTTCAAAGTGCTTTACAGGATTTACTCTAATAAATCGTAGAATATGTTGCAATTGTGCTTATCAATGAATGATCTTTTTCACAGCCGCAAATGTTTGGAATTATAAGAATCCTTGCAACTGATATAGTGCTTATAATGATGAAAAATCTGAAAGCAATTCCCATGGAACTTCATAAAGCGTAGTGACTGTATTTGTCAAAGGACACGACCATTAATTTGTGTGCAGTCATATCTCACAAACAGACGTGAAGGATTATTGTGTAGAAATCCAGGAGAAACTCTTCTCTTTTTCAATAGTGTCATGGGATCTTTAAGGTCAACCCGAAGCAGCAGATAGGATATCAGTTTAAAATTTAATCTGAAAGATGGCACCTCTGATAATGCAGCGCTCCCAGTGTTTTGGAGTGTCTGTCTGTGAGATCAAAGTTCCAACATGGGATTGGACCCAGAGATGAGGCCGGCTGACAACTGGCGAGGATTATATGCTTAGCCAGAAAATAGGATTTTTAATTCATTCGTTTAATGCAGTACAGTTCTGTTATCCACAGTCAGTTTCATTTAACTAAAATTTTACTGTAGCTGTTTAATTTGCTTTTTGTTCATCTTGATGTTCTAAAGTAAGCATTTCTTATCTTTAGAGTATAACTTTGTCTTGCTCGTATTATTTTTCCCTTTGAGTTCACAAAGACGAGATGTGAAGCTTTGATTTACCTCTGAATAAAACCTCTAATGGAAGCTATAGACCTCAAAACATCTTCTTCAATAATCTTAATTTCAAAAAAAAATCTTATTTCAAAAAATTTGAAAAGAATTTCAAATCTTAGTTTGAAAACAGACTGCAGATCCAAATTTAAAAACAAATTGGGCTTGTGCAGCTTTAAATAGGTCAAGGGAACATTGCTATCGCTCGCTACTGTTTGATTTGCATGCTGTATACACACGCCATTAGGGTGAGCCAGACCCGGGTCTGTGGCTGGAGAGATCACACGGGTGACGGCGCTCTCCCTCTGTGACCTTTCCTGACATCGTGGGCCATGTGATCTCTCAGCTCTTGAGCAGTGTAAAGGGGGAAACGCACGCGATAGATCGTCAATTCATTGCTCCTTGCACTTCCCCACTGTGAGTCCAGCCTAGACCTCAGATTGTTCCTCTTTAATTGTTCCTCAGCCTCTGGCATGCCCTTCCGACATGAAAGCCAGTATATAAATGCCAGTTGTTGTTGCTGTTAATCCCCTCGCGTCTTCAGCTCGACTCTCTACCCCCTCCTCGCTCCCTCCCTTCCCTCCCCTCACCCTGACCATTTCCCCCACTGCTCGGGTCCTGACCCAACTGTACAGCGCCTTGGGATGTCCTCCCGACGTGAAAAGCGCTCTATAAATGCAATCTTGTTGTTGTTGTAGAGTTAGCGCAGACACGTTTACAAATATAGTACATAGGTTGTCCGGTTCTTAAATTTGTCAGCTTTGTGCGATTAGGTCTGTCACTAATTTTAAAAAAAAATTTAAAGGATGTTTCCGAATTTGTTTAAAATGATATTTAAAAAATCTGTACTTTTTTTGTAGAATGGATCGAGCTTTTTACTCGAGTTGATCCATAGAGATGTGCCAATTACCACACCGTCTTGACAGTTGGTCAGTTGGAATTTAAGCGTATAACAGATTATAAAGTTCTGGTCCAACTTCAGGTTGTGGACTTCATTTGCACTGAGTCGCAGGGTCCCAGCCAAACCATGGGGGTGTCGCTCCGCCACAAGGTTTAAGCTGTGTATAACGAAATCATTAGCAGCACGAGGCGGTGATCCATATACGGCTCAGGCCAACCCGTTCTCGATGGCACTTCGGAGCATGGCGTGCTGTTTGACACCTGATGACCGACCCAACAAGTCAAACGACTTCATTTTAAACATTTTTTTTTTTGAAAAAAAATCATGAACCTGATCATGAATCAGTGGAATAGATCGTTTGTAATGCGCGAATGATATTGCTCGTCTTAGTTCCATTGGGTCAACCGATGTCGTTAGATCAGTTGGATTTAAATGGCCTGAGAATTCTTCAAAGCTCAGGATGCTCCAGGAGTCCAGTGATGCTCTGTTGTCTGACACCTGAGAGAGCTTTAAGCACTGCTGCAAATGCCTGAAACATTTATAATCTATAAAACAAGCACGCGCACCATTCAGGTCAACATGATCGATGTTGAGGAAAAATGGTGTGGATAAATATACAAGTGAGAAGACTCGTGCCACATCGCAGCAACTTCTAAAAGCAATTGTGTTGGAGACTTCTCAATAGCCTCGTAAGTCTCCTATGACTAAAAGGAAATCACAAGAGTTTTTGGACGAAGTATAATTTGGCCTATTTTGTATTATTGTATCTAAATATTAACCGTATCATCATTTTATAGCATCAAGATGTTCTCCCGTGCCCTTTTGTTCTGTTTCCTTGGTGTTGTGTTCTTCAGATGTTTCCTTCCCTATCCTGTTTGTTTCCATTTAACTCCATATGGTCCCTTCTGAGATGCATATTTTTTAGGTTAAAGAAACTAGTTTATTCAGTCTTTTGCCATAGTTTATCATTTATCACAAAGGTCCTAAAACTAAAGGAAAACTTCCTTCCAAATAACATCTTGCTAAATGAATATTGGTGTGTACTCAACTGTTAGCATTCTTTCTTGCAGGAAACCATATCAACAACTATTCGACATGTTCCACAGCTGTACAACAGAATTCCTTAGGGAAACTTCTATTAATGCTATCTGTAAAGCCACTATGTGGAGTAATCCACATGCATTCAGAAAAGCACTATTGTTTAGATCTTAGGTGACGCATGTCTTGCAGGTTTGTTTTGCCGATTGGGAAATCCGCTTCCCTGCATGAACCCTCCCTCTCTCCTTTAGTTTCTTAATATTGTAAGGTTAGAGGTATGGATAGAACAAAATAAAGAGAGAAAAATCACCTGTATATAGGTCTATTGGTCTTTGAATGTAGAATCCTCCACAACGGACAACCTTAACTCAAATTTTGTGGGGAATATATATTATTTATTTCTGTGGAGAAGTTTAATAACTTACATTTAATATAGTTGTAGGAAACCTGACAGCCCACAGTAATGTCCCACAAAAAAAAGAAATGAATGATCAATCTTTTTTTTTTTGTCTGTGAGAATCTTGACCAGGAGAATAGTGTCATGGAATCTTTTAACATCCACCTGAACCGGCAGATGGGACTTTGGTTTATCGTCTCATCTGAAGAATGGTGCCTCTTACAATGCAGTGCACCCCTAGCGCTGCATTGGATTTTTAGCTTAAATTATTCACTGAAAGTCCTGATGTGAGTCTTAAACCTACACACAGTCTTCTGGCTAGTGGCGAGAACGCTGACAGAGGCTGATACCCCATAGATGTTTCTCTAAAAGTGCATTGTGACTTTCAACTTACTTAATAATTTATATAATCCATATAAGTGCAAGGTGTTCTAGAAATAACCAACAATGTGTACTCGCTTTTTGTAGAGTGTTGGAGCTGGGATTGGTGACAGTTGAAAACCTATAATAAGACATTAATGTACATGTGATTTCCCCCAGAACTTGGTCCAAGCCTGGCTCAACCCAGAGGTGTGTTGCGGATGCTACAATCGAAGAACGGAGACCCTACAAGGTAGATAGCCTTTTCCAATTATGTGCATGGTGGGGCGGGTAATATCCCATGTGTGAGGATAGCCATGTGTGTTCGAGAGGAAGATGCATTTATTTTGGCCTGTTTTTCTCCACTACATTTTCTTGAGCAGCAGTCCAATCCTGGAGAGTAAAATGTTGCTTCTTTCAGAATCCCACCAGATCTTTTTTGTCCTTGAGATTCTAGATGAAGGGCAATGCCTCATAGTATAGCACTATTAGAAAGATGAAAAGAGTTTCAAAGTTAAATTAAGAAATTGTTAGAGGACACTAAGTTGGATTTTAAAAGCCTATCGGAGAAAGGGAAGATTGGGTGGAAATTGTTTGGAAATATAGCACCTTATGTCTTGAAGACGTGATGAAGTGCTATATCAAATGCAAGGATCATTATTACTATTATAAATTACATTCCATATCTGCGGATGAGGTCACCAAGAGCAATAATTATAATAATAATCCTTGCATTTGATATAGCACCATATGTTTCTGAGACGTTTCAAAGCGCTTCACAGAATATACTGCAAAGTGCATTGACTGTATATTTTGTGGGCGAAATGTGGCAGGCAGTTGCGCAAAGCAGTGTCCCACAAACAGTCATGGATTGAGTGACCAACTTATTATTTTATTATAAACATTTTTTTTAGTGATTATTATCCCTGGAAAAGTGATTTGCCAATATACTTAACAACCGGGTTCCTATTACTGCAGAGGCGTGTGGAGTAAAGAAATTTGCCCAATGTTTCGCCCTGCCAGGAATTGAACCCAGTTTCTCTCACTTGCAAGGCGAGTTCTCTAACCACTGAGCTACAGGACTCCACACTAAACTGTGTTGGTTGTAGTTCGCCTAGGGTACTTCACATCTGGGCGATTTTCTATTTCTTTACAGGACCAGTTAACAAATGCATAAAACTTGCCTGTTTCATAAAAAGCAGGAGTCTCACATTGTTAAATGATCTGCCAGAACCTTCTAGTGCTGACCACGGTGCTGACCACTCAGTACAACTCTGGTTATTGTGGACAGTGTGGCAGCCAAATCTCTGTTCATTCATATGACCGATAGATAATCTACACAGTGGCTCAAACTTTTTTGAAACACTGGCGTGAGCTTTCACAGGCTTTGTTTTGCAATAGCAGCTCCAGTTTGACAGCTGGATAGGGTAATTTGAAGATTTCCTCTTTAGTTTCTGTGATCTTAAATTTTTGATAGTTAAAGGGTTCTTTTAGTTTTGTTTTCAGCCAGATGATTTGCAGGCCCACCCTATCTGGCATGATCACTGACTACTAGCTTGGGGCCCGTTCCAACATTTTTGATTAATGTGGTTTCATGGTATTCCTTTGGCTGTTTATCTGGTTCCAAACGAGCTGAATTTGGAACAAGAGTTTAAGAGCCTCAGTCTTTTCTTAATAGCTGTTCAAGAACTTTTCAATGCAAGTCCATCGCATAACTGCAATAAGTAAATGAATGCAACGTAGACAAAGTAAAGAAAGATGAGAATTAAAAATAGAACAGCCACGATCTTTCCTAGGCTAGGTATGACAACTGATGAAAAATATTTTCTATTAGTTCCAAAACTCAAGTTCTCCAGAGGTTTTCAGGCACTAAGACTTGGGGCCTACAAATGGGTCCAAAACCCAGGCTGCTGCTTTGTAGCATTTAGAAGGTTCTCAAGAGCTTGCGGGGACTATGAAAATGTGAATTTTCTCCCCTTTATCACTGAAAGATCTGCAGCCAGGACAGCCACACATCTCCTTTCTGTCTAATGCTCCTGAGAATGGGAGTGAGTGGAGTAGAATTAAAATTTGCATTGTTTACACGGGATTATCAAAAAGTCATGATTTCAGTGTCTAATAGGTCTTAAACAAAAGATGATTTTTTTTGACGATAGAGTAGTTATCACGACGTTTTGGGCACCCTTTATTTGCTCTGACAGCGCAAAACTACTATTTTGGGTAAACCTCTTGGTTCTAGACCAAGTAAAACACTATAAAATCGCCCACAAAATATACGTTCAATTCACTTTATAGTGTATTCTGTGAAGCGCTTTGAGACACCTCAAAGATCTGACAAGGTACTATATGAAATGCAAGGATTATTATAAAATCATTTGGCGCAACTGGAATTTTATTGTTACAAAGTGGTTGATTCAAACATCTATGCATTTCTCAGTTTTCCTCTCTTGGTTTCAGAAACTGGTTCCATATAGCTTTGGTATTGTGTGCAATGAACAGAGAATTATTAAACTGTCACCTTCTTTCTGACATGAAAAAAGCCCAACAGTGACTCAGAGGAGGTTTAACATTGCTGTTGAATCGAATCATTGCAAAAATGCACTTTTTAATCATAACTCAAATTCTATTGACATCATAATAGAAAAATGCAGCCACCCTTGACGAATGGAAATTTAGGCACAGGCTATCCGCTCGTCTTTATTATTTGACTTTATGGGTTTTTAAATTGAACTCAGAAGCTGGAACGTTTTTTTAGCAGCAATAGAATGTGAAAACTGCATTTGAAGATTCACAGAATGTTTAAAGAGTATTTGTCGCATCAAAGATTTCTTCATGTTTCAGAATCAAAAAGTGTGCATATTAATTACTAAGCTGGTAAATTAAAATTAATGTAAAGGCATCAATTTTATCCCATTCTTTTAAAAATAAAAATCATTGCTAAACATCACAATTGCCACCAGCTCATGGTATATGTATATTCAACTAATTTCCTATTCACAATTGCAGAGGCTGACTTGGTTGAAAGATTTTTTTGAATTCATGTCCTTTTCTAGGTTTTGTTGAAAACTGTTTTTGAGATATTGCTACAGCTGTGCAAAGCAAGTTACCATACTAAGCATGGTTTTTCAAAAGATTGGAAAGAGTTAAGTTTTTTTTCCAGCAAGTTTTGACGAAACAAATGATATATCATGTGCTGTCAGGTACAGGTTTAAAAAAAATTCCTAATTGTATATTTTCAACATACCGAGCATCTTGGTCATAGTATCCTTCAGTGGACCTTCATTAGCTGGTTTATAGTTTAACAGTTGAACGTGCTAACCAGAAACCCGCTATACCCGGCTTCCAACGTTCCATTGCCTATTCCAGGTTGTGAGTTACTGATGTCTCTTCCTGTTATGCACATTGAACCACTGCTGTCATCAATGTGTATGTGCTGCACTTGCTTCAATTGGTGAAGGGCATTATATAAATGTAAGTTGTTGTTGTTGCACTTGCGTGGGAAGTGCCGTTGGCGTAACAAAGTGACTATCGGTGACTCATACACATTAATAATAATCCTTTCATTTGATATAGCGCCTTATCATGTCTTCAAGGCATCTCAAAGCGCTTCACAGAATGTACTGTAAAGTGAATTGACTGTATATTTTGTTGTCAAAATATTGTGCGCAATATAGATAAAAGACATTGGACCCAGCCAACTGCGCTATCACAAGTTTTCCCCAAGGTATGTTTGGATTGGTATCAAATTACACAAAATAAATATTTTCTCTAGATTCTTAACTGCTTTAAGATTTATTGCAAATGTACTTGTATGTTGGATCGTGTTGCTCATTTTTCCAACTTCAAAAATGGACAATCAGTGGTGTAGTTGACCAGATGTGTTCAAGACAACAACAACTTGCATCTATATGGCACTGCTCGGACAGGGTAGCATCTCGGAGTGCAGAACAGTGGCAGAGCCAGGGGGAGTGACCCTAAGCAAGGTCGAAGATCTGAAAATGGGGAGTGGGGGGATCAAGGTGGAAGCATTGAGGGAGAGAGTTTATATTGGTGTAACCAATGAGCTGTTTAAGGGCGAGGGCCTTTGCGCATCCAAGCAATCCACTTGCCTGGATGCATTTGTTTCAGAACCTATGGCTTCACAGTTGTGTTTTCTCCATTCTGCATCCTCATTTTGCCAGCTGTAAGAGCAAGTTTATTCAAATCCTTGGCTGATTAATCACATCCAAAATATCCACTGGCAAATAGGTGGTAAAGCTATAGCTGGGAACAATACTACAAGTGTGGAAACCACTTAGAATGCTTGGCCCTGTTGGTGGAAGTTTCAATATTCTACAAGTCTTCTGTTTGCTCTGTGATGGAATATTATTTGAAAAGCTACAGAGAAAATGTCTTGCTCCTTAATTTATTACAATATGAGACTTGATGGAATTGATGAGGTCAAATTGCAAAATCGGAGATGTTTCTGGAGTTTCAGCTCTTTGCATAATCACAAGAGCTGCTGACGTTTACACTAGGGAACTAAAAGCTCTGCAGCAATGTTCTGCATCAGTCCAAAAAGTACCAAATATGAACTTCACATATCAATTCTGCCATTTGTGGAACTTGTTCACTTTCTCTTTTCTCTCTTTCTCTCTCCACCCCCCCCCTTAAGATATGGGAAATCGTAACTCAGTTGTTTATCTTAATACAATTTGTCCAAATCTTGTGTTGCTAATATCTGTTCAAATATACCATATTTATGGAGTCGTGTACCTCATTGGTTGGAGCATTCGGCTCGCAAGCGAGAGGACCTGGGTTCGATTCCCGGGCAGGGTGAAACGTTGGACAAGGTTTCCTTACTCCACACGCATCTGTTTACCTAGCACTAGCAGTAAGTAGGAACCTGGGTGTTAGTAGATTGGGAATCGCTTTTCCTGGGGTAAAATAATAAAGTGATCAGTTCAATCCACGAGTGTTTGTGGGACACTGCTGTGCGCAATTGACTCCTGGGTTTCGCACATAAAATATAACAGTCAACTTTACAGTATATTCTGTGAAGCGTTTTGAGACGTCTTGAGGACATGATAAGGCGCTATATCAAATGCAAGCATTATTATAAATATATGCAAGAATTGCCTTTGCAATAGTTACCTTTACCTGTACCTTGTTGTACCCCTGAATATACAAAAATAAAGGTAGCACTTTAAAGGATAACACTAACAATATGAGTATCTTTGATTAAATGAGATAATGTCACTTGA